GCTGACGCCAAGCACCACCTGGTGCTGCAGAAAATACAAAGGTATGCTTTGAAGCGACGTGTGAAGAGAATAAAAATCAGAAAAAAAAGCCAGCCTGGGGGTTGCCTCTTTGCGCCGTGTTAGTTGTCCTCCGGCTCCCACATGAGGGGCGGTGAGGGAGCGGCCTACGTTCTCTCGCCCCAGGCACCACAACCTGGCTTCTCAAGGAATCCTGCAGCTTCGGCTCTCCGAAGCCAATGCTGTCCTGATGGACAATGGTTTTGGATGAATGCAAACGGTTCAGTGTCACGGTGAGGGGTGCGGGACCTGCCCTTCAGCTCTGTGTCACGCGTGGTGCCATCTGCAATGTGGATGCAATGCAGGGAACTGAACTTAACGTTTCCACTATAAAAAGATCGGTTTGCTATCCTGTCAACTGCCCTTGCCGCTGTGGGTGACAGAAAAGTATATACCCGGTAGGCAAAACAGTGAGAGCCAAAGTATTTGTTGCTTGTTTCCATGCAGCAACAGGGAAGGATCCCATCTTCCTCAGAAACAGCTCTACTCTGCCACCTGACCTTATTTCAGGGTCCACGGTATCCTAGAGGAGCGGCATCCCCTCCATCACAGAACCAGATGAAAACACCAGTCTTCAGGTCCCACACCTGTTCCAGGGGAGCCACCAGGGTGCAAAGCAGGCATAAACAGACGCATTTGATTTCAGCCGATTCATTGGATTCACCGAACAAGAAAGATGAAGTCAGGGCTCAGCAGAGCTGGTCATTGAGGCCAGAGTGAAGGGGAATAAAGGCCTGTTGGGGAATAAAACTGTAGGATTTGCATGTGCCATGTGTGCTGCAAACACAACTTGCCACTACAAAAGATGCAACAGAGGTAACAAGGTATCCATTACTCCTCTGGTAAGTCTATGCACGAAAATTATTAAATAATTTCTATATTTTATATGGAAGGTAGTCACAACATTAAGCTCTGTGAAAAGAACAGCTATATCACTCTGATCCTAGCAGACATTTAGTGGGTGAGTGAAAAGAGAAGGGAAAAAAAAGGCAAGAGGAAAAATGCAAGAAGGCTAGAAGAAAGAAGCTGACGCCAACATTAAATAGTTGTAGCTGGCTGATACGTGACAACCCTTTCCTGAACAGGGCATGAAGCAACATTCTTTTTATTATTCTGAACTCAAGGCCTTGTATGTGCTTGGAAATTTACTGAAATAGGTATTCTAAAAAGAACAATTTCCTAAATGGATCTCTGGAAACATCACAGTGGCATTGTAGATAAACAAAGGAACAAATTGGCCCTGCACATTTTCGAGCGGGCATCAATGTGAAAAAAACACCACCAGTACCAACAGACATTTTTACTTCTTTAAATCTGCACCTACAGCAGAAGCTTATCCGAAATGGTAGGAATCGCTGACATAATTTTGATTTCCACAATGCATGGCAGAAACAGGTGACAGTTTCTGCTGGAGGGTCAAATAATTTAAATAATTCTCCTTCTCCCTCGCAAGCTTAAGACATACCAGTTTTGTGCTGCTGCTATATCCTGTACGTATTATACAGAGAGAGGAACAAAGTCTCCAGTGGTCCTAACTTGGCATTATACACTGTTCCTTTGTGTGACTTTATCTTATGCAGGAAGTCAAAAGACTTACCCAGGCACATCAAAAGAAAGAAAACAAGCAAAGTATACAACCTCAAAAGAAAGCTCTCAACTTTGGAATTCACTTTCTCTGTAATAGTTCAACAGCACCTGCATTGCTGACCTTCAGAGCACACCACAAAACACAACTGTTTATATAACCTTTGCACGATGAGAAACATGCTTCACTTAATCCTGTAGTGGCATCAAATGCAGTCAACTATATTATGATCCTTTTTGGTTTTAAGGTCCCCTTGACCTGGAAATGTTTATGAGTAAATGAGAAAACTGAGTCAAAACTTCATGATGCAAGGGAATGTAAAGGAGAACAATACACAGGCAAAAGTAGTCACCATTTTAAGACAAGTTTCTACATATGTTGGCACATTCTCAATTAGAATAATTTGAAGCCATAAAGCTGCTGTAGGTTTTCTAGTTTCTATCATAGTGTAGCTCAGACTTAATCATGACAAGCTCTGATTAAAAGGTTAAGAATTTTAGATTGGGAAACATTCTTTCTTTATTATTGTGAAGCCAAGGCCTTGTATGCACCAGGAAATTTACTAAAATAGGTATTCTAAAATAACTATGTCAATCAGTTCCTCCTTATAGGAGGATGGAAGGAAGCCTTGGAAAGAAACAGTGAGTAATATTAGCCCTCAGGCTTCCCAGAACACTTGGGTTTTTGTCACAGAGAAAAGATTACAGAAAGATGTTGCAAGATGCTGAAAACTCTCTCTCTCTCTCTCTCTCGTTGAAAGAGAATTTGAAAAGGCTAAATTTTGAATTTCTGCCCGCAAGCTTGGAGAATCCCCCCCGCCCGGAGAGAAAGGCCAGCTTTGGTCTGGGGGGGGGTAAATCTCCCTTAACTCTTCAAACAATCCACGTGGGAAGGCTCCCAAAGGAGGACACTCAGAACAGGGAGCCAACTCTACCATGTAACCTCAGCATAGATGAATGTCTCTTTTTGACTTTGAAGGAATATTATGAGACTGGCCTTGCTGTGCTTTGTGAGTGGCTCCGTTTCCTCCTCCCTCTGTCCACCGAATACTGTTCCAACAATTTCTCTTTGAGGAGCTTTGCATGCTATTAGTGGCTACAAAAGCCTATGTCATGTTGTTTAATACCAGATATTATTCAAAACTATAAATACTGTAGAGCTATCCTGTTTCCTGGACTACACCGATTTATATTGAATGCTCTTTATTCTTGCAAATGCGTAAGTGCTTCCATGAGAAAACTGAGTAAAACAGGTTTCTCACAAAGATAAAAAACGTCTTCCAATTAACACAAAACAATTATCTTATGGCTCACCTCTCCGTAAGAATCAAGTCTGTCAAAGTTATCCTCGGGTAGTATCAGAAGTCTGAAAAATACTCCTGGCTGCTGGTAAAAATGGATGAGCATCTGTAACAGAATCAGTGTTTTCTGAGTCTGTGAAGTGCTCTTCACCAAATACAGCACGTTGTATTAAAATTAAGTATACTGCAAAAAGTAATATAGTTCTTAAAATTAGACAGCTATGACTGGCCTAACTGCTGCTTTTTTTTTTGCTTTTTTTTTCCCCCCAAACTAGAGATCATACACTATTACAGCTGCTTGTATTTTATTGGAATAAACCATTTTCCACAGATCTGCAATCTGATTTTAGCTAATGATTTCCATGAAAATACTAGTTCAAGTTGTGTGCTTTGATTAATTAGTACAATACTGTAATATTAACTTACATCTTTTCTACGGTGTTACATGTAATTACATTAGATTACCTTACAGCTTCATTAACAAAATTATATTTTTGATATTTTTTAATAAATTTGGTCTTGCAGGGCTTTATCGACAGATTTATTTGATGGTAGGTTTTCATCTTCTGGATAGCTATACTTTAATAGTTCAGGCTTTGGTCCTGCACTAATATCCGTGTTGGCAGATTCTATCCAGAGTTATAAATCAATTATCCTCACATACGGATCTGATTGCAAGATCAGGACCACAGACATCAGTTGTGTAATGCACACTTCCCTTTCAACTATCAAATTAAATTAGGTCTAAATAAAACTAAGCTGATGAAATTATATATGTGTATTTAAGACTGTAATTCAGCAAGATATTTAATTATGGTTTAGGTTACTTAAGAAGTTTGCCATTTTTTTCTCAGGACCCATGCTGCTATTCAATATATAGTTTGTTATTTGAATATTACTCAGGATATTTTTCATTCTAATAATTGCATTGATTTTGACACAGAAATGTTTTAAGTTATTAGACTGTGCATATATTTTCATGAGACTGTGCATATATTTTCTTCTTTGAGATATAGTATTATTTACTTAGTTACGAATTTACAAATATTACACCACATTTAAACATTGGGGAGAGTAGATTTAGATTGTGAATCCTCTATTACATATTGTCAGTGCTTCCCAGAACAGCATGTAATGGCTTTGGCCTTTGAGTTTAAACCGTGTCTATTTGTCACAGCAAGAAGGGATGTTTTAAAGATCAGGAAAAATTAATGTAAAAATTGGACCTCAACAAATCAAATCCTGGAAACTTACTGAAGACTACTTCAAAAGCATCAGAACCTGTGTTACACTATTCCTTCTGGCAGTCTTAGGAGCCCCAAGTAGCTAACACAACCATACAACTTGCATCAACGTAGGAAAATCACTCTGACTTTCAAATCTGACCTAAGTTCCTCCCTGTTGGAAGAACAACATTTAAATTCAAGCAAAATCAGTAGAATGCACAAAAAAACCTACTCGTGCAAAGGTGTATATATAATGTTTTCTAATTCAGAACAATTTCAGGGGGAAATTGTATCTCCAGTGGTCTTTATCTGTGAGTCCAGCTCCTTCTTGCTGACTGCACACGTGCTACCTCCAGCTGGATCATAACTTGAAAAAGAGCCACAAGGCTTACCTTGGAGGGATCTGACCCCCACAGAGAATTTTCAGTGTCCTCTCAGACTGACTGTTTTGATGGCTTCTTCGGCTAAGTCAGCTAGAAGGGACATAATTTGTGCTAAATAATCAACAGACACTCCATGTTCAGTAAACAAAATTATTTTTCTCTCTCTGGGAAGAAAGTTCACAGTAGACACCAATTATATTTGGGAGCTGAATCTGTTTCCTTTGATGTCAATGTGTAAACAGCACTGGTGGAAAGAGAATTCAGCTTTAGGTTCTTATAATCCTCCTATATCTCTGCAGTAATAAAGGAAACAAAGTGAACCGTACCAATGAACCACAACAATGAAAATCAGATAATGTCACCCGCCTGGTAATAAATTGTTCTTGTACAATGTAACAGGCAATGAGTAATGCACGCTACGAATGAAAACAGTGGGAAGAAACCTTGGAAGAAGGCTGTTTCTATTCAGTCTTTACAGGCTTAAAGCATATATTGCATACTTTGAAATAAAAGATTCCTCAAAGCGATGGCATTCATAACCCTTATTTGACAGACAAAGTACTCTTTCTTGGCATAAGCTTTCTTCTCCATCCATCAAATAGCAATTAAAGGAACATCTCTCTAGTATTGAGGAAGTCATCAGGGCTGTCTTTAAATCCTCTCACCTTCACTCATTTCTGGTATCTTTTTTAAAGTTAGGACATGGAAAAGACTTCAGTAATTTAAAAAATTATTTTACATTTAAAATTCTCTTCTAGTCTCTGTTACACTTTTTTAGGACAGGATGTTGATGAATTTTCCCAAGACATGCATAAAGAGTATTTACATCATATATTTCATATAGAGCAAATAGGGAGTTTGTAAAGCAGTGAAAGATAAAGGGCACAGATTATTTTCCATGTGATTTGCTAACTAAACTTAACAAAAAGCCTCTGTTTCTCTAACAGTGCTCTCCCCAGGACAGCCTGCCAACGTGAGAGCCCTATCTGTGAACTGTTTGGGGGAGTCAATAGAAATCTCATTAAGGACCTTGCTCTCCTTTTACCTGAGGCCGTGTTTGTTTTAGGTAAAGTATTCTTTGGGAGTTAAGATAAAGGAAGGGCTGAAAGGCCCAGGCAAGCGCCCAGCCTGCCACAAGTTTTAGACCACCAAATGCCATGGAGGGTGCAGCTGGAGGTCTCCCAGTCCAGGCTGCAGCGGGGCGCATCTGTCACCGCTCCCGGGGCGCCTGGCGGCCGCGGCACCAGCACCAGCAGCATCCACCCCGGCCGAGGGAGCGCCCAGAGAGGTAAGGCAGGCGCAGCGAGACTTTTTCAGCAACCTTCCTTTCAAAACTCTGACTGTAAGTATCATTTGAATATAAGGATTTTGGCATTGAATAGACAAGAAACAATTACCAGCTTTAGAAGTAAAGGGCAAAATATATTCCTGAAAACGTTTCACTTGGAACAGGTTTTTTATTTGTTTTGCCAATATTTTATCCTTTTCAGTCAAATATTTCAGAACTTACTTATAAAAGGAAGTAAATTAAAATTACGGTTGCGATAACTGATTTATTTTTTTTAAGTGTATTTACCTTTCATATCTGAAAGCACTTTTCCATTTGCCTACTGGTATGGATCCGTTACACAGCAGCAGAAATGGAAAGTACTGTAAAAAAGAGCATCCATAACTGTAGTCCCCCACACCAAAGGAAAGGCAGATGTAGCATCCACCACTGCACATGCTCCCTTCAGCTAATTAGATCAGATTGCCCAGGTCAGTTTAATGCTGGAGTTGCTTACTCAGTAAATAACTAGCCACTCACTGATGACATGGAATCTGTGTTTAGACATACTGTGCGAGAGCGAGGGTTACTTTTTATTTTGTAGCAGTGCTGCATAAATAAAAAGATTTCAGTATTAATTGCATCATCATTTGGAGTTCAATGTAGTCACTTTCAGTTGTGAAATCTTAAAGGGAAATGACACCTTAGTTAAAAATTTGCGAGCCGTTGTCTAGTTTGTTTAATCAGATCATGGACAGAAGACAGACTAATACTGCCACAGAAATCAGATTCACCAAATCAAAATGTGTTGAAAAGAAAAAAAAACATGTTATTTCAAAAGATACCAACAGAATCTAACAAAAGGAGCTGTACTGTACGGATATTACCACAAAGAATTAACTGTGGGAGCACTATTCTATCTTAATCTTTCAGCAGCCCTGCTTTATGGAGGCCCTGGATGCTCACAGCAAGAGACAGTGAGATGACAGAGAATCAACAAATGGTGAGACTAAATTCTGGAGAAAATAATCCTTATAGAAAACAGGTGCAGAAATTGAAACTATTTGAACACAGGAAGTGAGGCTTGGTCATCTATTCATTTCTTCTTTCAAGCATTTCTTCAGTGTTATAAAATATGGTTCAAATTACAGTGTTCTGTACATGATAATGGTTAAGAGTATCTCTAATTTTGTATCAGATACAGAATCATTATCAGTTCTTAAAGAGCTGCAGAATGCACTGCTTACTCAAAACTCTCTTTTTAACAGCAATTTTTATTTACTTGATTATAAAAATAAGAATATCCTCAGTTTGAAATTTCCAGGCCCAATCGGTATGTGATATTTTGCATATAGGGAGAACTTGAGTGAAAATGACTTTAAGATGAAATTTAAAACATACTTTCGGGTGCACAATTTTACTGATTGTTTTTTGGGAGGGATGTTGCTATAGCTAATCCAGCTAGGAAATCAACAGAAAATTGGATTTTAAAGTAGCTCTTACTGCCAAGTGCCTTTGAAAGGCACCATGATTATTATGTAGGAAGATTTGTTAGGCTCAAAGAACAAAAATAGAGAGAGACTGAAGCACATTCAACATAGGTCCTGATGCTGCAAACTTTAAAAAGTGTATTGAAATGGTGCTACTCCCATGCTCTAGTTTTAAGCACCTGCACAAGTTTTTGCAGCATCCGATCCACAGTTACATCTTCAACTTTTTACCAAAGGCTCAGCAGGTTAAGACAACGACTCTCCTTATGCAAGTCTTTAAAGATTCATGATTTCTACTATATTCTAACATGTGCAACACATTTTTACCTTGTACTTTTTGTCTGCTGAAGATGGAGGTTGTAACTGTACAGATCTGAGGGAGCGCCACACTCCTCCTGGCAGCCACATTGGGAAAGCCTGTGGAAGAATGTCCTTCCCCGCAGTGTTCCCAGCAAGCTTTGCCAGAGGCACCTGTAAATTTGCTAAGGATAAGAACGTCTTACTCTCATGAGAGTATATGCTTACAGTGATGATTTTGAAAAACTAAGGTTTCTGAAATCAGGAAGTTGTGATTTATTACTGAGGTTATTTTTTGTAGAAAATTTTATTCAACCAGCTCAAAAGTTTTAATTCACACTTGGGCTTCTGCCCACTGGTGCGAGAAAAACAAACGATAGATGAAGTTTTCCACATTCATGCTAACAGCCTGGCATTGTTTCAAGCCAAGTATAACTGAAACAATTCAATTTTTTAATATTTCTCCTTCCTGCCAGAAGCTTTTCAGATCCTTTTCATCCATAACTTATGGCCCATCCACACTGCTGCAGCATCCTAGATGCCTCTGTAGCTTGGGACCTAATGAGGGCTGAAGGAGGGCTTCAGGAGCCCTTTCATATGCTTTTTAACAGGGTCACGACAACTGAGAAAAGACGCTTGGATACTTTGGGTGGTGCATAGGTGGGAAGAGGTGCTCCCTAATGCATACCTACATCCCACAGCTGTGGAAGGCAAGAGGTACCTTCTTCAGCAAAATTACTGAGGTTTCTAGCGGAAGGCCTTCCAAGATGGGTTGAGCACAATGTTTTTACTAGTTAGTTGCATGCTGGCTACTTTTATTTTCTGCAATGTATACATACAAATGCCAATGCTTTACAGATTGGTAGACACTCCAAACACTGGAGAGTGAAACAAATAAAAGTTTCAATATCCTCTGTGTAATTAAAAAAAAAATGTTTAGGAATATACATATAAGAATCTATCCTGAGAAACTGAAAGATGCAGAGCAAAGCACTAAAAAATAAAAGTACAGGTAAAAAAATTTAAACTAATAATTTCACCTCTATTACCAAGAACATGTGTTACAATATACCCTATAGTTACCGATACATAATATACTTTTCCTTATATGAAAAGTATCACTCTTCCTACTACCTAAATTCAAATACATCATTATTTATGCCCAAAGAAAAGCCATGAAAAGTAATTTAAAGTTATTATGGCCATATCTAAAACATAATACAAATTAACACTGAAGATTTTCTGCAGTATGCAAGCCAAGTTAGATTTTGCAATTACTTGGCTTTTATCAGAATTGGTTTTTAGAAATGCTATATTACAGTCTAAAAAGAAAAAGCATATAATGTGTGTTTAATCAATATGTATTATTACATATATAATTATTAAAAACCAATATGTATTCCAAAAAGGAGACAGTAGAAAATACAGGTCAATAAAGATAAAAAAAAGACTATTTTAATGCAAATCTGGAAGGAGAAAAATAACATATGGTATTTATCATAGATATTATGATCACATCTACAATGTTCAGCCAGATCAGGAGTCCATTTTACTAGGTACTGTGGAAACAAAGTAAATGAGTCTCCTGATTAAACACAAAAAACCTCAACAAAACCCTAACAGCCTGAAGACAAATAATTTTGGCTACAAGACAAACAGGCGGGTATGAGAGAAACAGGCCAACGTAAAAGGTACAAAGAGAATTCTCCAGGACCCCTTGCTCAGTCCATAGCCCAAGGGCTTTTTGGGGCCCAACAAAATATCCATGCTGAAACCTACTTCCTCAGAAAGATAGATGAATTGCTCTGAAAGTGGCAGAAGTCATCTTTGTCTGTTTGTAGCAGAGTGGACGGTTTCTAGCTTCTCTTCACTAGAAGTTCTGGTATAGCAAAGATAAATCTTCCTATTCTATGCACCATCAAGTTTATAGCAATAGGAGGAAAAAAGAAGTCGTCTTGTTTTAAGATATGGAAGAGAATACATGCCTATAAGACGAAGTGATAGGGCTCAGTGACTTTGGGAGATGCTTCCAGATTTACATTCCAGGTTTATAATCCTAATAGGATTTAGTAACATTAACACTTGCAAATTATTGTTTTATATTGTCACCTTAATTTGAAGGAATTTATTCTGTGCTAAATTTAATTTTGATATTTAAAATATATTTTTGCTACATACTCTGTTGTATCAAAAATGCTTGCTGTTTTTATTGCTGTTTGCATGGAAATATGACACACCAGTTGTCTCTTAATTTTACTGTTTGGACTCTTAACGTGCTTCTGTGACCTCTGATTACAATTAAGCTCACTGACTTGAACATTCCAACTCCAAACTACTGGTTAGTGTAGTTAAAGAGGTATTTTATAAAACCCTAACCTCCCAATCCTTTAAACCAATTGGAAGAAAAAGGATTTTCAATCACTGAGCTTCCATTTGGTGGTGTTATTAGCTCACCAGTTGCTATAGATATTCTGTAAGGACTTAAGCAAAATGTACAACTTCATGGCTTTATGGCTCATAAAATGTACAAGTTCAAATGCTTTCTTAAATGTGCAACTATTGGCAGACTGTGGGCACATATATTCTCTGAAGTACTTTTAGAGTAAAACAACATGCAGCACAGCAAACAAAGCAACATTACTCTAGAATTTTACAGTTACCTGTAGAAGAAAAAAGTGAAATCTTCATTTTTAGCCTGTTCTAAATAATAAATATGTCTCTTTACAGTCAGAACTGGATGGTCAGCTAATAAATTTTAGACCAAAAGGAGCCCTGGGGTTTCAACATCCAGTGAGGTGAGTTAAATCCTATCACTTGATACAGAAAAAGTGACACCTTCCAAGACAAGACATAGTCCCTCTTGGGAAAAGTATCAGTTTGTCTCTGGAATATCTTTTTTTAGGAATGCAGTTAAACTACTCAACAGACTCCATAGACTTTTATCCCTCCACAAGGAAAGATGCCCAGGCTGAACAGAACCTGAAACAATATGCTAATAATGAAAATAAGAAAAAAGTAATCTTAAAATAAACAATCTTCTTCTATCTTACCTAACTTACATTTACATTTATTAATATGATAACAAGCCCACAAAGTCCAAATAATTAATGTGAACAGCTGCTAATGTAATGTGACTTGTTACAGATCTGCGTCGAGCTTGCTTAAATTTGCACTTATTAAAAGTTGAACTCCAGGTAACATTTTTCCTATGCTTGGAGGATTTGTAAAGGTTTTCACCAACATTTGGATTCTTTAAGGCTTAATGATGTAGGAACTCCTGATTTGGACTTTTCATTTAGAGGAGAAAAATTAATGGAATATCCCTCTTCTTTACAAGCACTTGTTTTTATAAAAGTTGTAGAAGCTTGAAGTCTGTGTGACCATTAATCACCATCAAATTTAATTGAAAACTGGCCAAAGTGGAATGAAGAGGAAGAGATGTACATACATATGCTCACCAAACCACATACATATGTATACAGAGCACCTAAGTTTTACTTTGGTGGGAAAGCTGGTGAAAACTTGAAATGTAAATTAAGACATTTATTATTTCAATACAAAACAATATGAATTTCAAAATAGATCTCTCTCAGTGTACACCTCCTCCTCCACCTGAAGACACAAAACCCACTAAGGTCAACCTCTGTGCAACAGGCAACCCAGCCCAATCTTAACCTGGTGTCTTAATCTGAAGTCCAGAATCTCAGAACATTCCTCAAACTTCCCCCAGTCGCACAGGACACTTCCATTCTGAACTGTGCTAAAAACCAAACCAAACCAAAACATTTCAAGCAGCCATGATTGCCCTGGCAACACTTTATCAGGGTGGGACCTTAGATAAATCCAATACACAATATGCTCAAAGCAACTGAGGGAACTTAAAATCAACAGTACCTCTTAGTTAGCAACTTTTATTTTAAAAGACAAGGAACGCTAGGATTTTTCTCTCTCCAAAGAAAGATAAAAAAGAGATTTTAATACACAAGCTAGCTTAGCTAGGAAAGTGAAACATAGTTTTACTTTTTCTCTTAAAATATGTTTTCTTATTAGACTTTATTTGCCCAAGTCCAAATCTCAAAAGTTTCTTAATAACATCGGAGAGAAGGTTCTGGCGAGTTTTCCAGTACAAGCTACAATTCATTTCTACAATGATGATGCAGACTCTGAGGAAGATGAAGAGGAAATCGGTTCAGCCTAATAACGAACAGTGGTCAGCCTTGACAAACACAAAATAAAAATTAAAAAATCAAGAGATAAAAAAAGAACTCTCAGAAACTTATGGACAAACATCTGACCGAACAAAGAAATACATCAAAGCTCAGAAGAAAACTATTTATAACTATCTTACCAAGAAGAATGAGTCAATGCAACTGGAAACTAAGAGGAAATCCTTTTGTGTTTTGAGAGACTTTTAAATAAAACCCTGAAGCTGAACAAAAGATTATAAGGTTTAAATCAAGTTGGTTTAAGTAACACGGATTAAGAACATTAAGAGCACTGTACTTAGTTACTCATTAGTTTTTACATTGCAGTCCTGATAAAATGAAAATAGGATTGATTATGAGGCAAAATAATGTAATGTACAGCCTCAAAATAACCCGAAGACTTCGAAACACAATGTTTGAATTTAAGCAAGAAATTATTTAAAATGCAAAGACTATTGCTTATAAGCTCCATAGGGCATGTTTATTCTGATATAAATGCTGTACGCCAAATTGACCTAATCCATTTCCAGTATAACCCCCTGTCAAGACAAGTTCTAAATGACAGCCATGGTGTTTTCTGGGGTCCTGTCATTCTGTTGTTATCAGATTTCCCCCCTGTAATCAGAAAAGTGCCTTTTTGTTGGTCAGAAAAAAAGTCAACCTTGATTAAAAACTATGATTCAATTCAATGGCACATTAAAACATGCATTATGTGCTACCTTTTTGTCTTCACCACAATATTCAAATCTTTATTTCTATCGCTTAGTGCGCTTGAATCTATGTGCTTAATATAACTGATCTACTGTTGATTCCCGTCTAGTGGGGTTTGGATGTGTATCTTACTATCCTGATATTTCTTTTAAATCGATGTTCAGGAAGACTTAAGTTACTAATTTTCATAAGCATCTTTATGTTATGTACAATGTAGACACATTTATTCCAACACTGTTATTCCACTAGCAAAACCTGCTTTTTCAGTACAGTTTATTTCATTCAGAGAACTGGTATAATCTGTTGTGCTTAACCTTTTGTTTGCATAAATTGTGTATGCTCAGAGAGTTTGCCAGTACTTGTCTTGCTATGCTAGCATTTTTTAATTAGCTCAAGGATTAGCTATTTGGCCCCACTATGTTTCAGAATTATGCTTCAGGTATCTTATCTCTAACCAAAACTGCCATAGTTTCCCCAGAGACAAGGCAAAGGCAGAATCCAAGATTCTTGGCCTTTTCTACCCCACTGTTGGTGGTGTAGGTAAGGTCAGACAGTAGTAAGAACCACTTAAAGTGTATGGCAGATCTTCATCTTAGTACAACGCACTGTCAAACAAAGCAATAGTGTTATAAATGTTAAGTCTAGCAAATCAGGATTCGAAATGAATCAACATATTAGAATAGAGGGTTTTTTAAAATTTTCCATTTACAAACTAAAAAGTGGATCTATTAACTAAATTTACCCAGGGAGACAGCATCCTATAATATATGGAATTACAAGAACTAGTCAAAATTGTAAACCCTGGTGTAACACATGAAAATTCAGCTTTTACATTTCACTCATTCATCATCTCCACATCTTCACTTCCCAACATATGGAACTAAAATACAGACATTTTAAAAGTCTTTCATTTCTCTCACAAGATATCAAAAAATTATTTATGCTCCAGCTTCATCATTATTCAGTCTATAGCACAAACAGAAAAGCATCGAAGATCACTTAACAGGTCAGCGATGACGTATTTCCTACAATGGTCAAATTATTGTCCATTAAGCCTCAACTTCTTCCTTGCAAGAAGCTCTAGTCTCCATCAATGCTCAGCTGAGTTCACTCCCAACATTTGGAGTTCTGCCCTCACCTCGAGTCCTGAGCAGGGCTTTTTCTCACCTTTTAAGACACCTCTGTGTGCATCCATGCTGCCATTTTAATCCGTGCTATGACACAAACCAACCTGGTTACTGCTGAATTGCTCAGACCTTCATTGAGGATTACTGGAATCTGGAGGGATGTGTTGAGGAAACCATCTCAATCCCCACACAGCATGGTGCTCCCTAACACACACACTACAATGAAGAGCCATTTGCCTTTACACAGATATTGTCACCATCTAAGGATACATTATGTAAAGGAAACTCTGCAGGTCCTTCCTTCCTAATCCTTACCTTTCTATTGAGACTGTGCTGCCTGTTACTTCCTCCTTTACAGCTTCTCTGCCTGCCCTGCAGATGCCCAGCTGTGGGCTCTGGTTACTCTCTAGAAAAGCATCAGATGAGACCAGTGCATGCTTGCAGACATAGATGCCCAGCAAGAGCTGGTGTTACTATTGCAGAATAGCAATGAGGAACTAATATCCCCAGGACCACATGGCATAAATGGAGACCAGCTTTAGATGCAACTGAGACTGATCTTCCTCCATGAAGGAGAGGTTTTGAGCTGGAGGGATTAGCATCAACAGGTGGGACTATGTGTTGACGCTGAGGACTGGTTATTAACTCCAGACAGAAATCTTCAAAAGCTCTATCTGAAAATGCAGTAACTGGAGCTTGGATGACCAGCAGAATTTAGCATGTTTTCAGACAGAGCTTTTGAAGATCTGTGTCTGGAGTTAATACCCAATCTTCAGCATCAACACATCATCTTCCAGGCACTCACTCTACTTGCATGGAGCTTTGTTATCCTGTCCTTTACTCTCACCAGCTGGTGGGCAACCAGTCTGGAGTGGCAAGTGGCTCATTGAGATCTGTGAAAAAGCCTCCTGGACAAGTGCCAGCCGCATGCCGGAACACCACCAGGTTCTAAGTCAATTTTTGGTGGGTGAAGTCTGCTGAATGTTTTGAGAAATGGAAATCATTGGTTTCAGTGTACTAACTGTTTTTGAGGAGTGTTGGTAAAGAGCCTTTGGTCAGTAGAAGTAGCTTCAGATGGGGTAACTAGTAAAACACACAACATAGGAGAACAGATACAGTGTGGACAATGGCCCTACATACTAATAGAACTATCACATCAATACTGGATGGGGCATCTCATTCCAAGTTTCCTGGTAACATGTCCAGCCAGAATCTGAACGTTTTGAACTGGTCCAGAATTTCCAGACCTACAGCAAACCAAGTGGGACAGTAGCTCCATTAAAAATATTGCCAGGCAGAAAAGAAGAGCAGTTCTAGATAAATGCTGGAGGTTTGGAAATCCAACAATTGGCCACTGGATAAATGCAGATTGACTACCCAGAATGTGAGCCGTAAGTCTGCTGTATCCTAGAAAATGATATTCGTACTTGACATGAATGCAATAAAGGTGGGGGGGGGGCGGGGAGGCGAGGATGATCAAGGAGATAGATTAAATGCTGGAGGTTTGGAAATCCAACAATTGGCCACTGGATAAATGCAGATTGACTACCCAGAATGTGAGCCGTAAGTCTGCTGTATCCTAGAAAATGATATTCGTACTTGACATGAATGCAATAAAGGTGGGGGGGGGGCGGGGAGGCGAGGATGATCAAGTAGATAGATTACACAAACAACAAAATAGATCAGAACCTTTCAGCCTGGAAGACATGATTGAGTATATAAATGTAGTCTCTAACATCTTGAGTGGCTTGGAGATGGCGCAGAATGATTGAACATCAAATGAAAATAGTGAGCAGCGAGTTTAAAACAAAAGGAAGCGCTTAACCCAACTTGTGATTAAGCTGAGACGTTGTTTAAACTAAGAGTTTACCTACTTACAACAAGTAAAGATTTTCAGAAGAAAAATACAAAGATACAACATCTGGCTCAGAAGTTTTGCATTGTTGCAGGCTGGGGAAGCATTCTGGGGAAACATTACTAGCTTCTTGCCCTAATCTTTGCTCTCACTACTATAGCAGGCACTGTTAGCCAGTGTTGGAGGCAGGATATTAGCTGTATCTATCTTTCGTCTCCCATGAAACAGCCGTTTTAATGTTCATAAATGGTCTACATCCTGGATGCTTCAGATGTAGATTTAATGACATAAGCAAGTGCTGTTACAAATCTACACCTCTGAAACAGAAAAAAACATCTTAAGAGAAGTGTGTTCTTTAAGACAGTAGAACAGACACTGTTATTACAAAAATATAATCGGATAATGGATGACAGTCTTAGCAAAGGCTGTTAGAAAGATCAAAATAAATCATCTTGCACATCTGCTGAGGTCTAACAACATTGTATCGGCCTAAACTGATTCAATTTCTCAGTCTCTGCTAAACATTCCATTATGGTTTCCCCTGTATTGTCAAATTCCATTTTCAAATTAAGGTAATATTACTGTACTATTTACTTGATGAGTAATATTTAACTACAGTCATTAGAGGAAGCCAAAACTATATTATCCTTTTCCCATCAGGACAGCATTTTTTTTTGTCGAATAACTGACTGTCTTTTCATGTTACAATGTCAACATACCCTTATTTGCACACTTGAATAAAATATGCATTGCGATCCCTTACCGGTTTGTTAATAATTAAGAGAAGACTAGAAGTGAAGTAATATAGCATCTCTGCTATTCAACTGCAGTTAACTTTCAGTTTTCCGTTCTGGTTTGTTACTTCATCTGCGATTGTTAAGTTTTCACTGACCTTAGAATCATCCATCATTCACAGGAAAAAGATAACAAAACATCCCCAAAGAATGAGTTTATCATGAGCTTACTACTTCAAAGACAAGACTAGAAACATAGCATTTCACAGATTAAATTGTTAGCTCAGGATCTCTGTTCCACAGAACCTCCCTTAGTAGTTCAACAGCTGTAACATTTCCAGCAAATGTTACCTTTCAATTTCCATTGTCTAAAATTACGATAGTAAAAGACAAGTTAACGTTCCACTGGTACATGAATGCTGGAGAGGTATCTAGACAATGTCTACAATTTTATATTTCTGCTGTATGTATTCATGTGAAGAATCAAAGTTAAAATATGTTCATAAAACAGTCTTGAATTCTACTTCTAAGCTCTTTTAAGACAAGCTCTTGAAGGACACATATAT